CAACTCCAGATTATATAAAGTTATTTTCATAGCAAACTATTATTCAATTGAAATTGACATCATTAATTGTATATATTGATGATAAAATTATGAAATTATAATTTTGATAAATTTGATTAAATCATAAACTATTGATTTTATTTGTCACAAATATTTTTTTTCAACGACGTGACGTGTCAGCCAATAACTGAACGTCGATCTGAGAACGGAAAAGACTTTGATTAGAGGCGAAATGAATCGGCCGTCGATTTGGATTCTTTGAGAAATATACTTGCATGCCATGCTCTATGCTCATTTTAACATGGGTAGGCGTTATATTTGTCAATATCTTTATACCGAGCGTTAGCGAGCCATGCTTCATGCTCATTTTAACATAGGTAGGCATTATATTTGTCAATATCGTTAAACCGAGCGTTAGTGAGGTGTAAAATGTTGACAAAAATAATACCTTTCCATGTTAAAATGAGCATAGAGCATGGCATGATAGGATTATTTCGATTCTAATAGGAAAATTTAGAACTATTATCCTCTGAAGCGGACCTAAAATACACGTTCGAAAGGCAGATATTTTGATTTGATGAAGTCAAAACGATATGGCAAATTAACCGTTTCACGATAAAAAATGAACCGATACATGTAAACTTACTTCTAGAATGATTTTATCTAATTTCCTAGCGAGCAACACCAAAACAAATGTCCATTTTGATCTCCTGCGTTAGTTTAAACAATATTTATTCAGATAAATCATCACATGAAGCACTAACATCAAGGGTTAAAACGTTTGCTTTTGATTATGTATTTGGTGCTATTTTGCTCATCTGAAAGTACCATTGATCCAAAAAAGCAAAATTTTTGTGTCAACTTGGACAGGAAGAACTGAAACAGAAGCTAATAGTTCATGTCTTAAATCGGTGTATATACATGTAGGACAAGTTAACAGGAAGTGAGAATTTGTTTCTACATCACCACAACGACAGTTTGGGGAGTCTACTAAATTACGAAGGAATAGGTGAGCTTGAATCCATTCTTACGCGAGCATGAAGAATTTGACCAAGATGATATCCTACATAATAAAACATTGGGACCTTACTATTTAGGGTACGAATTTGTTTTTTGAATAATGGTAGAGATTCACATCGTATTATGTTTAAGTTAAGAGTGTTCCTTAGTCTTGTTGCCGCTGGGATAAAATATTCAGAATATAAACGGGTCCGTGTGTTGAGTTGTGTACTATTATTTCTTTGTCTTGTATAATGATCATGTCTACTTCCTACTGAATCGGGCATTAAGTCTCTTAAATACTCTGGAGTTTTATTATTCAAAATTTTGTGAGAAAAAAAAATCTATGGTTGCGTCGTCTATCAGTTAATTTTTCCCATCGAGTTTCCACACATAAATTATTAATACTGGTAAGTTTAGTACCCCCGTGACGATACGCGTCGCGTCAAACTGGATATTTTCAAGTTTAGTAATCAAATTGCGCTTTTGAGGTCAGTTAACATGTATATCATTTTTTACATAAACAATTTTCCCCCTCCAGCCTTGTGTGGTTCTCTGTCACGGCGGAAGGGGTTCTGATAATTTAAGATTTTAATTGATTCGTCTGAATGGTTATATTTTAACCAGGTTTCACTAAACGCTAAAATGTCAGTCAGAGTATTCAACTTGTATCACATCTATTTTAAGAGCTAGGCTTTGTAAATTTAAGTGAAGAATTGACCAAGAAATTTGTTTTGCATGCACACGTATATAAATTGCGGTTTTTATCCAACGCAATCATAGGTTTGAACGTTGTTTTCAATTTAGACTTATTTATATTCTTTCGTTTTGGCTTGTATTATATTTGCCTTCGGGTTTATATGATCCGTTCATCCTATTTCGACTCTTCAAAATTCAAGAGGGTATCCTAAATTGAGGTAAATTATATGGCCTTCCAAATACCGTTTCGATCCTTAACATCACTGGAGAGACATTAATTGTCGAAATCCGGATATGGTGGACAAATTTTTGCACCTCATGTTCGCGGTATACCATCTTCCCCGCAAGTTTATTGTTTTCTGTTTTGTATTAAATCAAATATAAGATCCATGTTACATCTGGTGATCAATGTATTTGGCAATCGTCAATGGCAGTCAGCAGGGTTTAAGAACATCAGTTGTTCGACCTGTTAGTGAAATGCGTTTTGTTAAACTATACTTTTCACTTTTTTGGTCTTTTGGAAAATGTTGTTTGTGCTGTATTTAGACCCCTCTTCCAAGAAATTTGTTTTGCATGCACACGTATAAAATTGCGGTTTTTATCCAACGCAATCATAGGTTTGAACGTTGTTTTCAATTTAGACTTATTTTAACAATATATGTATATATACAAGTATTATCATTTGTGCAACAATACTGATAAAATATAATCATATTCAATTTGTTAGAAAAAGATGAGAGTTAATCGTATTGACAAATATTTCGGTATTTTGCATGCATCGATGTCAATGTTGTCTTTTTTTTAATCAATACAATCTGAAATTCTTAAGAGTGTTATTAGGTCATATTCACGATAAATCCACCAAATTAAAGTTACAAAAAAGAAAATTATTCCGGACTAAAGAAAGATACACCTTTTCCTACAAGGAATCATAAAATGTATGGACTTTATCGATATATTGTACTAAATATGCAAACCCACATATTGTATTTATTTGTCCTTTAAACCATCTTCTGTTGAGACTCAAATGTTGACTTGGGTATAGAAATATAATCACCTGCTTTTCTCCCGCCTGCCAGTAAAAACCCTACTGAAAAGGACGGAAGTAAAAGAGAGGCGAAAGATACCAAATTTACATTCAAACTCACAAGTCGAAAATAAAACCTATGCTACGTTTGGGGTGGATTTTTTCTTGCTATGCGGGATTGCATAAATACGCAGCCACGTCCAATGGAAATGGAGATTTTAAATCAAGTTCCTCGTGTTGTCAGACTGTCAAAGTCTCTTTTCATAAACGAATCTCTTCAACAAATCTCTGGGGGTCCGTAGGTGGCCTTTTGTGATGACATTTTTATGATCTATCCAAATAATTATATCTCTTTTTAATTTTCTGATGGCAATATGCATTTTCCGGTCGTCTATCTTTGCAGAACTTACCAATTGTATATACGGCTAATATGAGGCAGGTGTTACCTATGAAAGAGGACGAAGCCCGTAAAAATATGTTTTTACAAAATAAAACTATACATAAACATGTACTAAGGCCATCAATTTTGTTTTGTATTATACAAATTATGACAATTAGAAATATAAAAAAAAATCACTATAATTTAAAAAGAAAAACGATACGCAACTTTTGAGATACTCTTTATCTTTGTCTCCATGACAGAAAACTTGACAATCAATATATATATCTTTTCCAAATTGTAAAACAATTTATTCCCAGTATAATTTCTGTTGAAAAAGTAACTGAAATACGAAAACGTATCCGATGTTGATCTTGTTGTAAGGAATTTTGTTTATGACGTCATTTTCAAGGAAAACAAATTGAAGTTTTATTTTATTAAAAATACAATAATGTATACCATAAACGACAAACATACCGAATCAGCTTATTAATTTATTATTATTAGTCATCGGGTGACCTTTCCACAGATAACTCCTGTTGATATAAAATAAGGAGATAACTATCCCCCAAGTTCGATGTAAACCCAATTCGCAATTTGTTCGCTATAAAATCGTTGAATAAGCACTTAGTCTAGGTTCATTTTATAACGCACACAAAAAGACTGAATTCAAAATATTTGTCCTCATAATATTGCCATTTATGATTCTTTTTTTGGTAATCAAATGCGGGAAATCGTTTGACTTAAAACATGACAGCGTCCGTCAACAGAGAGGAAACAGGGTACTGTGCAAGCGCAACTGTTGGACGAAAGTTAACGATTTCGAGTTTATTAGTTTATTGACTTTTGTATTGATTTTTAGTTTTATTGATTTTCTTGCTGCAATTTGAGAATTTGTCCCCATAATATTTTTCTCGTCTTCAATATGCACTGAATATTTGAAATTGAGCGTTAAGCATACACCAATGAAACAATCAATCAAGCAAGCAAAATTCATATAAGTTTCATAACGAGTTAGAATTGGATATAGCTTGATATCAACTCAAGTTATCTAAATATAATATAATAATAAACAAGTCTTTTGCGAGTATTACCGTTGAAATTAAGCAAAGAGAAGAAAATCAGAGATGTGCGTTACAATTAGCGAAATAAGTCCGTTGTGAACTTTAGAAATCATCATTGACTTAACGATTAGTCAATGGAAATATCTCAAATTTCGTTACATATTGCAGGATAAACCAACCAAATAAATACAATTTTCGTTTTATTTATTCATATCACACTTCGTTTAATAGAGTAATATATGTTAATGCAGAGAATAGACTATATGCCACAATCATTATATAATGTATATCAATGGAAAAAAAAAACAAATAGAAAATATAAGATATTATGGACATTTTAAAAGAACTTTGTGTACGCTTTTTATGCTTTCATTTTGTTAACCTTTCTTACATATTATATTTTCTTTAATTTTAATTACGCTGTCTATGCGAAGTAGGATTTTTTTTCTTTTCTCTACAATTTTTATTCCTTTTGACATTTGAAGGGTCAAACTATGAGAAACGTTAATAGTTCATCGAATTAACAAGCACATTTTAATCTGTGGTTGTTGAAGTGGTAATAAAGTAGGTCTAAGTCACCAACATGTAATATTATAATAGGTAACAGTATATATTACATTTTATAGGTACATAGGAACAAAATAATCTCCCAGATGCAGAATCGTTAATTATGCTATGTAAAGTAATATCAATGTCAAACTATGAGAAACGTTAATAGTTCATCGAATTAACAAGCACATTTTAATCTGTGGTTGTTGAAGTGGTAATAAAGTAGGTCTAAGTCACCAACATGTAATATCATTATAGGTAACAGTATATATTACATTTTATAGGTACATAGGAATAAAATAATCTCCCAGATGTAGAATCGTTAATTATGTGATGTGAAGTAATATCAAAGAACATATAAACGTACGGTAAGTTCATGTAGATTATTTCTTTGTAGTTTAATGCAAAATAAAATGGTATAATTACAGACATACACATTTAAAATATGTGTTTGATTTTTTTATTCTAAACACAGACACGAATTCGACGTATAACCACCCGTACTGTTGTTAACGACTAAGACCTCTCGACATACTAGGCTATGCAAAACTAAAACAAACGGACGATACCTATCCTCGTCGGCTCAATACATGCACATGTATGTTTCTGTTAGATGTTTTTCTGTTTTTTTATCGATCTGATGAGTTAAGTCTTTTTCAACTGATTTTTATAGTTTGTTCTTATGTTGTACTGTTACACCACTGTCCCAGGTTATGGGAGAGGGTTTGTCGCCGACAGACTAGTTTAACCCCGCCAAATTCTGTATGTTCCTGTCCCATGTCAGGAATCCGTAATTCAGTGGTTGTCGTCTGTTGCTGTTTATCATATTTATTTTTCGTTCATTATTTTGTACATAAATCAGGCCGTTAGTTTTCTTATTTATATTGTTTTACATTTGTCATATCAGGGCCTTTTATAGCTGACAATGCGGTATGGGTTTTGCTCATTGTTGAAGGCCGAACGGCGGCCCTTAGTTGTAAACTATAATGTGATTTGGCCTCTGGTGGAGAGTTGCCTCATTTGCAATCATACCACATCTTCTTATGTATATGGTTTTCTCTAATTCTTCGTCAATTTATCCCTTTCTGCACCCATTGTAAAAAAAAAAATTTAACCAACGTGTGGTTCGTTTGATCTCAGTTCTTCATTATTTAAAATCCGATTATGACGTCGAATTTTCTTGCTTTCCTCTGAATTTCCTATTGTGACGGCATGAAAAAAGGCGACCATGCCTGATGACGTCACATAGAAAGAACACATCTTTTTGCAGATCATTCGAAAAGAAAGAATAAATTTGCCTTCGTATTGTTTAGAAATCATTAGAGAAACAGATTCCACCACCAAATCTCGTGTAATACGATATTTATCCACTCTCGACAGTTAAATTTTAAATATTTAAAACGCTCGGCGAGCCTCGCGTTTTAACTTTGAAAATTTAACTGTCTCGAGTGGATAAATATCGTATCACACTCGATGCAGTGGTAGAATCTATATGTAACACATGTACAGTATGTGATGTTTAGTAAATTGGAAATGGTATATAATATAATCAGTCACAACAGTCTTTTATCTTCGATATACACACGATAACACTACAAGTAATATGTATAAATAACCTCTTTTATATTTGTTAACGTCACACCATTGTTAACGTCAATCAAGGGATAGAGACATTGACACTGAAGAAGGCTATTTCTTCAGCCGAAATATTTCTCAATACGATTTCATGACATCCTCTTCGAATATTACCATCTTATATTAGTATCGTTGGTCAAATTTTTTTATATAAAATCGCCACAGAATCGCCTATTCTAGATGATCCGGTACATATTGAATTAGCTAGTTGGTCTTTATATATTTAACATTTCTCTCTCTCTATATATATATATATATATAGATATTCAGTGCATAATTTACATGTTATATCATAATTTGTATATACATGAATTTTTTAGTACCACCAGAAATTGATAAAATGTCAGAAGAAGAGAAGATTGGTCACACGACTTTGACCACTACTGAAAAAGTTGTCAAAACGATCTTCTTAGTTTTAACTTGGGTTATGATTGTAAGTATAATTATATACTAAGTATCACACAAATGTCTGCACCTGATTCTGCTTTATATATATTAAATGACTGAATAATAGCCAACGATAAATCTTACGGGGCGATAGATCATATAATTATGATACAGTACACTACAAAATAAAATATATAACAATTATAAAAGGGTACCACATCACCAAAAAATAACAATAAAATGAACAAATGTTAAATATTTCGGATAACAGATATCCTTCATCAGTATGAATATGATGTAAAATGAATCTATTCTGATTATAAAACTATAATAATCTTGAAATTTATACAATAAAACAGTTAAACCCGAACATCATAGAGACGCTTGTACAATTCTAATTTGTTTTGTAAAGCTATTGACAACAGAATCCGCATAGATATGCTTCAAATAAAAATAGTAATGTGCGATATGAACTGGTACAATTCTAAAATTTAAAAGGTGACGACAGTTTCGATGTTCCAACAACGATTAAGTGGAAATGCATTCCCAATAAACAGCACTGACCGATCTAAGCTGGAATAATATTTCAAATTTGACAACGGTAGAGTATTTATAACAGAGGCTGCGTATTTAAACATTCCAAAAAAAATAGCAGTTTGATTATGATTAGAAAAAAATAATAGTAAATTCTGACTAAGGTTAAATAATTGAACGTGACTGCGTACTTGTACATCCTTCCCAAATGAATAGAACCCTGTAATTTAAACTGGTATAATTAAAAAATTCATTTGGGAGGGATGTACAAGTTTTTTTTCTTTGGTGATGTTGTACCCTTTTAGACTTGTTATATATATATATACGAGTCTAAATTGAAAACAACGTTCAAACCTATGATTGCTTTGGATAAAAACCGCAATTTTTATACGCGTGCATGTAAAACAAATTTCTTGGTAGAGGGGTCTAAATACAGCACAAACAACATTTTCCAAAAGACCAAAAAAGTGAAAAGTATATTTTAACAAAACGCATTTGACTAACAGGTCGAACAACTGATGTTCTTAAACCCTGCTGACTGCCATTGACGATAACCAAATAAATTGATCACCAGATGTAACATATCAGCACAAACAACATATATATATATATATATATATGTCGTGTACAAGTTGAGATTTTGTACATGTTATAACATGTACAAAAATATTGTAAATGTTATAACTTTTACAATGCAAAAGTACAAGTTATAACATGTACAAAAGTACCTCGTACATGTTATAACATGTACAAAATATGTCTTAAAATGGTTTGAACTTGTACAAAATTTAAAAATTAATTTAAATAAAGCATAATATACATTTGAAATTGATAAATAATCAAGAACAACAATCAAAAGCTCAGAACGTTTTTGAGCACAGTGATCACAAAGTTTCAGAAATGTTTGTATTGCTTTACAGCTTATGTTGGCATAATGCGTTTTCAGGTCATTGCTTGTCTTGTGCAGTCTACCATGGCGTACAACACTGTGAAAAATTGAAAACAACACGTTTAATAATTACATGCGTCCGACACGCTTTTCTGGATTTACCTTCATCAGGAACGCTAAAAGCCAAACATTTGAAATCCGAGGGATATGTGAAGCTGTTTAATCATAGCATACATTTCCTTAATGGCAATAAAGTAGATAACTGGTTCATCTGAAAATTTTAAGAACAATGTATAAAATTTGGAATTATACCCCACCCCCTCTATTTTTGACATACAAAAAATAAAGCAAGGTCTCCCATGCATACTTTATAAAAGCCAGAGAGAGAAAATGATTTTCTTTGAACAAAGCTTAATTATAAATAACTTTGGAATTATTGAATTTGCTCTTCAACATGTTTGGCCTTAAGCATACCTGATGTTAATCTTTTGCATCAAATTATTATGTTTTGCATGAATGTCATTTTGATGCTTTAAATTTCTATCCTCTGCTTTGAAAAAATGATATTGTTTGCAGAGGTATTTTTATTCAACATATCAAGGATTTCATTGTAATCTATCCTGGCTACCCACTTGCATCTTAAGTCTCCACTAGTATAGAAGTATTTTACTATTGCCTCCTGCAATGCCATACACCATCATAGGCATTGTCAATGGCTAGTTTCCCCAAACATGTAAAGACACAGAATCAGCTCTCACAGAAGAAGTTCTTCTGTTGAGAGTCTGCAGAGAAACAATTGGAACCATATATCTCATATAACAACTAAATGGATAGTAAAATCTTTATTTTCTTATTACAATAGAATACTGAATAATGTTTGTTAACTACCTGTGTGTTTTTAAAAGGCATTAAGTAATTATAAAAGCTATTTATCTGGTCATTACCTGTATCAATAAACAGCTGCGCCATGAGCGCATGATACGCCCGTCGTCTTGTGTGTAAATTCTTATGCAATAAGCATAAATAGTTTCTGACATACGGCGTGACATGCGAAAACCCCCTTTTTTTTTACAAAAAACTCAATATCTCTAAAATAAAATTTTGAATCAAAACCAAAAAGTATACAGATCTTTAGATTAATATAACTAAGAAGTGTGTAAAATTTTAAGCAATAATCATAAATCGTTTTTGAGATACGGCGCGACATGTGAAAACCCCCCTTTTAAAAAAAAAATCAATATCTCAAAAATAAAATTTTCAATCAAAACCAAAAGGTATACAGATCTTTAGATTAATATAACTAAGAAGTGTGTAAAATTTTAAGCAATAATCATAAATCGTTTTTGAGATACGGCGCGACATGTGAAAACCCCTCCCCCTTTTTTACAAAATACTCAATAACTCAAAAATAAAATTTTGAATCATCACCAAAAAGTAAACAGATCTTAAGGTTAATATAACTAAGAAGTGTGTAAAGTTTTAAGCAATAATCATAAACTGTGTTTGAGATACGGCGCGACATGTGAAAAACCCCTTCCCCTTTTTTAACAAAATACTCAATATCTCTAAAATAAAATTTTGAATCATCACCAAAAAGTATACAGATCTTAAGATTAATATAACTAAGAAGTGTGTAAAGATTTAAGCAATAATCATAAATTGGTTTTGAGATACGGCGCGACATATGAAAAAAAAACACACACACACCTGTTTTAGTTACTAAGTCCCGTAACTCAAAAAGTTGTAATCTTATTTTCACCAAAAAGTATACAGATCATTTGACCATCATAAGAAACAACTATGTTAAGTTTCATGAAATTTGGATAAGTCATTCTCAAGTTACGGTGCGACATGTTTACGCCGGACAGACAGACGGACAGACAGACAGACGGACGGACAGACGGATGGACGCCGGACATTTGTATACCATAAAAAAGTACAAAACACACTAACATGAATGCAAATAAAAAAAGATGCAAATTTATTGAGGTTAATGACATGTGCTGTAATAATAGAAACATATATTTATTTTTTAATCGATATTTTGTACATGTTATAACATGCACGAGGTACTTTTGTAAATGTTAAAACTTGTTTTTTTGTACATGTTATAATGTGTACAAAATCGCAACTTGAACACGACAAATATAAAATATTATATTTTTTTATATTTTTTGTTTTGTTACCAGAACAATATGAGTGCAGATATTATATAACAGCTTGTATATAATGTTCATTGGGTTTTAAACGATATAAATATATTTCAGGGGCTGTTTACCGAAATAACTGGACCAACCCAAAAAGATCTCATCATAAAAACGAACTCGGACTATGAATTAGTATCTCGTGCAATTTCTGGTAGGAGTGCAGGGTATTTTATAGGAGCAGTTATAGGTGGACCTCTTGTTGACAAACTAGGACATTATTGTGATTTGATGATTGCTGTTTGTCTGGACGGGGCAGCAATAGCCACTGTAATAGTACCGTATTGTGGCAATGTATCTCTGTTATGGTTTTTACTTGCACTTGGAGGTACATTTGAAGGAGTAATAAACATAGGTAAAACAATAACAAGATATATATGTTACTTATTTAGAAGAGCTTCATATTAAACAGAAATGTTTACGCAATTAATATTTTCCAATGCTACTTAGCGCTCTCAAAATCGTTTAAGATTAGAAGGTTGTTTTTACTCTATGGTTCGAGAACATTCGGTTGAATAAAATGAACATGTCATTCGTTATATGTACCAACATTTCTAAATTTCTTGACGTATATATAGATCCAACCAGACCAATCAGTCTGATCAGTCCATATTTCCACAATAGGCTTACTGAATTTCTAAATTTCTTGATGTATATATAGATCCAACCAGACCAATCAGTCTGATCAGTCCATATTTCCATAATAGGCTTACTGACCGTTACACGGATATATAATTAGTGACCGCTTACTGATCAATTAAATAGTGACACCTAATGTTCAAGTACAGTATTATTACATTTGTAAATATGTTTCGTATGTAATAATTTATTCTTTTGTATCATTATATACGTACGAATCAACTAAGAATGAAGTGTATATGCCATAGTGTTTTGTTTTATTTACTGGTGCTTTAGAAATTGAAAGGTTGTGTGTGCCTATTTTGTTTGGGAATAAAGGATTAATTAAACCAATTTAAAAGGGAAACAACGAATGAGCTGTCAAATTGACAACAAACCGGGTTTTCTGTATTTTGTTGGCGCTTTCATTCTTAACTGAACGACCTGTCGCTTTTAAGGCCTATTATCAAATCTATATAGGATCATAACTCCTGAACAACAACAGGAAATATAATATCGACCTTGACCACTATTTTGTCAAGAGTCAAAGCATATTGAAATGTTAAGAGCATTGGTTGAACTGTAATTAATAAATTGCCCAGAAACAACATTAATTATATAAAAATGTGGTATGATTGCCAATGAGACAACTATCCCTAAAGTTCAAATGAATTGGATGTAAAGTGCCATTTTCCTATCTATAAAGAACCAAAATCATAAAGGGGCACTAGCTACGAAATATGAAAAAAAAATCTCGGTTGGTTCAATCATTAATAAAAGTGAAATGATGAAATAATAATTCGTTTTTAGCAGCCAATTTGGTACAGTTTTGTCAAAATAAGCAAAGAAATATCGCTGATGAATTATTCACATGCAAGTGAATAACACGACCTCATTAAATCCGTATTCATGTGACCTTCAATGTAACCCATTAGCTAGAGATTGGTTACGCATGCATAAGTCGTGTTCAGCCATTAAAAGGAAAAGAATGTCAACATTGAAAGTGAAACAAAGGTGAACCATTACGTTGACTGATTCGATCCACAAAAAATCATTCTCATACAAGTAAAAACGTTAATTAACTTATTTGTTTAACCTAAAACATGAAACAGACAGATCTATAAAAATCCATGTGCACGAGGTCGCAATCTATTTATATTTATGTTTATGTTTATATCGGTTTATGTGACCATCGGCAGTATACGGAGGTCATCTCGATAGTTAATTAGTTGGCGTCTATACTAAAATACACACGAAATTCTGATATATATATATTATCGAGTACATGCCTTTTTAACTGTTTATTTCAGACTCATTGTAATTAAATTAAAAGCAATAATTAAACGGTTTACAATAAAATAATTGCGCGGAAACTGTATGTGTGAGCATTAATTTGTTCCTGTGAAAAAAAAGTTCCTATGGAATGAATATCACAGGAAATTTATTCTGGGAGAACTTTTTTCACAGATTATTTCTATATAATTTGTCCCATCTGTATGAAAATAAGTTCCACAATTTACCTGGTGAAATAAGTTCTGGGTTTGTGAAATTTGTTTCTTACCAGGTAAATAATTTCCGGGTTTATGAGATTTGTTCCTTACCTGGTGAAATAAGTTCCAGGTTTATTAGATGTGTCCCTTACCTGGTGAAATAAGTTCCTTGTGTGTGAAATATGTTCCACTGGTTATACAAGTGATCTTACATACTGAGCATTTGTCATCAGTGAGTTTTAAGTTATCATTTAAGTACATTATAAAAACATGTATTATATTGATAATGTAATAAATAGAAGTGTAAACATCCAATATGAGTTTTGTGGAGTATAGCTAATGATTTATTAATAGTTTACTCAATAAAGAATACACAAATGACACTAATGACCCAGAAAGAGAAGAATAAGAAAATCATTTAGAAAGGAAATATAGTTAAAGATGAACATTTTTACTAAGCTGAAAAGGACAAAATGAGAGATCAAATAATTAAAAGACATGTAGTGACAAAAGACAAACTCAAGAGTATTTTGAAAATGTGCCATGACCTTAGTACGTATGACTAGAACACCCATGACAGTTAACAGTAAACAAGGAGGAATACCACATAAAACATAAACAAATACAAACTATGATACATTACCCATACCATCGCTTCTTTTTTATTCTTCATCCTAAAATTGCAGTCATGCCCTCAATTTTTTTCCTATGAAAAATGTGCCTTTGGAACTCATATCACAGGAACTTCTTTCAATTTTTTAAATTTTTAATATTGGAACAAAATTCATGGAGCTGTGATTTTTGTTCCAAAACTTATTTCACGTTTGGCGAAACAATTAGTTCTGGAACATATTTTACAGTGCTGGAACATATTTTACAGTGCTGGAACATATTTTCTTATAATATATATTCCGGGTATGAATTTTCTGTGATATAAATTTCGATTGAACATATTTCCTATGAAAAAAGTTCCGGCGGAAAACATGTCACGCTGGAACAATTTTTTTGTTACAAATGCAGCCGCTAGCTTCGAGTGGGAAATGCCCCGGGTTTATGCTCAAGGGGGGTCTAACTTAGAACTAAAACAAATGGTTTTGGTGCTCCACTAAGCACCAGCAAAGACTTGTCGAATCATATTCATATATATATGTCCATGTTAAGTAATATTTCTCTCTCCGGACTATTACCCTCTGAACTTGCACGATACTTTGCTGAATGACTGTTAATCTAGACGTTATCACCTGCTTAGTAGCCAGAACTTCGGTATCTGCATGAATGCACGGATATTGTTTTATTTACATTTGTTGTAAAAGATTCAAAATCATCTTAATTGAAGGTATTTATTTTTCTCAAGCTTTGATTCCTAGTCCTCTCACCTCTTATGGAATTTAAAGACCCCATATATAACGTATAAGGTCACTAACGCACTCTATAACTGATAATATTTAACTCTGGATGTTTCATACTATTCCAACATTCTTTTCTTTCCAAACACATAATATTTTTCATCTAATTATTAGACTATTTTGTTTTACAGCTGGACAGAAAATAATCCTTAATATTTGGCAAGAGAAAGCTACAGGACCAATGCACGTGCTACATTTTGGATTTGGAATGGGATCGTTTATTGTTCCACAAATATTGAATCCTTTCCTAGCTGTTTTGTCAACATCGTCAGATAATATTACAGATACAGCCAATATAACGTCAGTTTCTTTTGTATCATCAACCATAGCTTCTAATGCTACAGAAATGTATTTAAAAGAATCGCGCATTGAAACAGGGTATTTGATCATAGGAATTATAGTCGCATCCTTATCAGTTGTGTTTTACATTTATCAGTTTTTCTTTCGACAAATTGCTGGTGAAAGAAAAATACTGAATGGAAATGAGTCATTATTAAGACAGATAGTTAAAGTTGTTGATCCCGCGACGTGCTCAAAAGGCGATCGTTGGTTTGGAGTTCAAATTTTTGTTCTTTTATTTATGTATTTTTTCAATCAGGTTGGTGGTGATAGATTATATGGAAAGTTCATTCGAAGTTACGCAATTGATAAACACAAATTTTCCGGAGATAATGGATCACTATTAAACACCGAATTTTGGATTAGTTTTGCGGTGGGTAGGTTTTTGGGTTTGTTTACTGGTAGATATATTCCTATTAGAGTTCTTATATTAATTGAAGTGTTTGGTACCTTTGTTACAGTAGTTCTCCTAGAAATATTCGCAAGGGACAGTGATCTCGCTTTGTGGATATTAACTGCATCTATGGGATTTTTTGTTGCCCCTCTTTTTCCATCAGGTATAGCATGGGGAGATTTCCACGTTGAATTTACTGGATTTGCGATCACTTTCGTTCTCATGGGTGGTGCTCTGGGTGGAATGTCATATTTATGGGTCATTGGATATCTCTATGAATATTATGGTTATGATATGTTTTTGCATCAATTGGTTGCATATGCTATAATAATGACATTTCTTACAATAATAATGACTATAGTAGGCAAGCGACATGGAGGAAGATTTGAGAACAAAGTGTCCGAAGTAAACGAAAATGAACTTGCCGTTAAGGAGAACTAAAAATAACATTGTTGACAATGATGTCGTTCACCACAATGTTCACGAAATCAGTCCTCCGAATTAGTTGGTTATTATTTCCTATTAAACTCATTCTTTTTGGTATCTAGTTTAATCTTAAATACATGTACAGACAAAACGTTGCATAAAAAGTGAAATCACAAAAATACCGAACTCCGAGGAAAATTCAAAACGGAAAGTACCTAATCAAATGGCAAAATCAAAAGCTCAAACACATCAAACGAATGAATAACAACTGCCATATTCCTGAAGTAGAAAATGGTTGATTAAACCTGGTTTTATATCTAGCTAAACCTCTCACTTGTATGGCAGTTGCATAAAATTCCATTATATTGACAACAATGTGTGAAGAAAACAGACAGACATAAAAGGTAAAAATGTCAAAAATAGGGGTACAGCATGCAATATTGTGTTATAATCTTAATCATTATGAAAACAAACAAATATGTAACAAAGAAGCACAAAAAGGCATGTAGACAAAGCTCATACGCAAAAATGAAAGACAAGAATACAAAAAATTACCATAGCACAATAACACAATGACGGGATGTATGAGTACAGAGCCACGTCATGTAACAAAGAAACACAAAAGGCATATAGACAAAGCACATTAGCAAAAATGAAAAACACGAATACAAAAATTTTACCATAGAACAATAACACAATGACGGGATGTATAAGTACAGAGCCACGTCAAATGGATATCATCAAAAACCGACTAAACAGTAAAAGAAATAGTCATAAAGACAAATAAAAGAATACTATAACACGTTATTTAGATGATAAACAACGTCAGTATCCAGAATCTATTCTTCAAGACCATCGTGTATTATTTGTGAAGTTGATACGGAATAATTATCAACAAGGTCTTGGTACCTTCCGATGAACTTTATTTAGAAAATGGATGAGACGTTTGTTGACATACCCCTGGTTCATCAACTTTCTGCTCAGACACTGGTGACGTTTTACAAAGTCTGAGTAGGAGTTGCAAGCTCTTGAATACCGAATAAGTTGGGAAATGTATATCCCATATGCAGGTGAAGTTGGTATATAGCTACTAAGGTGGAGGAAATATCAAATTTTGTAAGAAAATGGGAAATTTCAAATAAAAAAATACCAAGTGAAATTAGTGATTTTGCCATCTTACATGCATATAATATGTTTCGATTCCACAAATAATGACCAAAGCATTGTTATCTCTATCTAGCCTTATTGCTTATTGAAATATTTCACAAAACTAATAAAAAACATTTGTTCAGATTTTTACATAGGTTTTTAAAATGAAAAAAAAAAGAACACATGAGAAAACGGAAAACTTGATTGAAATAATAAACTGTAAAAGTAAGACAAAAAATTTCGGACAGTAAACTGTTCAGAATTGAACTGTCAAAAAGTTGAGTTTAAGTCACTCTTGGTCAATGTTTATGGAAAAGTAATACAATAAACATGTGAAATGTCGCGAGAAAAACACAAGAAGAAAATGATGACACACCTTTGTGTTGTATCTATTTCATTTATTTAAGAAAGTTAAATTATTTATTTGGAACGAACAAAATCAAAACGTGAATATTTTCTCATGTTGCGTTATGAACGATTTCAGTGTATAATCATTTCAAGAAGGTGTTATGTTCTAGAATCAACAGTTATCAGAATAAGTTCGGCTTTCATATCAATATTAATTGTTTACTTTCTCCAAAGTTCGTAGATTGGTCGACAAAATCTAGAGAAAAAAATTTATTCAACTGTTCACCTTGCTTGCTTACTTTCATTAAGTTCGAAATGACTAATTTTCCCGATTTGTCTCCTTACCTTTTTATTTTACGTTTGTAACTGCTTAGTGCATCTATCAAATGTGACAACATGAATAGAAAAATTCTGAATTTTTTACTTATTCACTATGCAAATAACTATTCTACTTTAATCCTGGACGATAGTGAAAAATCCTTAAATATTGCTTTTAAAAATATAGACCTGAATTCGTCTTGCACTGTGTTGGAAGCTAACTTTGAAAAAAACCCAAAGTTATATGGGTTTGGGTAAACAGGGGGCTGTAATTAGGAGCACAGATAAAAAGATACTATGAAACCATTTAGGAAATTTCAAACGCCTAGGAATTCAATACTGTTTGTCTAAAGTTTATATATATATAAGCGATAACTTAAAACAAATTCTAAAAAAATAAAAAAAAAAATGTGTATCGTTTTTATGCACCATATATTAAAAATATAGTTGTGAACATTCTTGCACGACCATTTCTTATTTAATGTTTTGCCGTTTAACCAGACCCATCCCTAGATATGTTTAGGGACATACAAGCTATGCTATACAGATATGTGCGGGACTATAAAGGGGACAAAATAAAAAAAGAAATATACTGATCTTTAATGATGAGGTGTAAGTATGCCACATGTAGAATCCTTTTTAAAAATCCTTGGTAAAAATATTTTAGTTTAAGACCCTTCAATGTTTTCTTCTTGTTCGTGGAAGGTGTTATTGACAGATCCACTTAACATGAATCAGGGATAACATAAATTGTAATTAATCAAAATCAACACTCAACAAAATTAAAATTGAATTTAACCCTTTCTGGCAAAATGCAATTGCTTCAAGTGTTTCACTGTGCGAACCTCTGTCCACATTCCCTAGCAGTGGCGTAGCAAGGCCTTTTATAAGTGTAAGCCCGAACTTCTGCGATGGATCCGACGGCACCCAGCGATACCAGGGCAGAGGACCTCCGGGTAAGGGGCAAAACACCGAATACTCAAGCGTTATCGTGAAAAAGATACAATTTATGTCATTCAAAGTTCACCAATAGCAACATACTTTGTCTGTTGGGAACAAAACTTTACTACATAAGATTTGATTTCAGCTTCCCAGTTATGATCTATCCATTTCAATGTGGCAACATTCCAGTAGTTCTTGCATATGGAGTATATATTTTCCAGTTGATACGACATTTCAGAACTTGCATTTCCCATCATGATTTCCTTGAATGAGGTTGCTACTTACAAGGAAGCTGTTAAATCAAGAGTTCCAAGTGGTGAAGTTGAAAGCATCCCTTCGAAAATATTAAGATCGCTATCACGAGTTGGTTGACTGTTTCACAGATGACGACGAACATGTTCCATTGTTGTAACCACAATTCCGTCCTCTTTTCCTCCAATTTGACCTACTGAATTAGACTTAACACCGAGTTTTAACTTACATGAGCAACACGAGAGGTGCAACATGTAGAAATAGATATGATTACCCTTCTGGAGCATGCCCCTGATATCAGTTCAAGTTTAGGTGGGGTTCGTATTGCCTAATCTTAAGTTTTCTATGTTGTTTTTTTTTTTGTGCTGTTGTTTGTCTTTTCTTTGTTTGTCGTCTTTTGAAACGGCATCTACAGTTTTTTGTTCAACTGATGAGTTTAAATAACCCTTTGGTATATTTCGCCTCTCTTATAAAGTTTGATATGTTTTTTTTTTTCATGTTAATTTTTCATTGTGTTGATTTGGAATCCAATGGTTGTTTGTTTTAGAGAAAAATGTCCAAACCAGTTACTTTAGAATATGTTGAAAGGAAGATGTTGGATAAACCAATCGATCGACAAAAAAAATCAAAACTTTATAAAAGTAGATAAAAAGCAAGTTCTATAAATAAAGGCAACAGTAGTATACCGCTGTTCGAAACTCATAAATCGATAGAGATAAATACAAATCCGGGTTACAAACTAAAACTGAGGGAAACGCATCAAATATAAGAGGAGAACAACGACACAACAAAAACACAACATTAAAATGTAACACACACAGAAACGAACTATAATATAACAATGGCCATTTTCCTGACTTGGTACAGGACATTTTAAGAAAAAAATGGGTGGTTGAACCTGGTTTTGTGCCATTCTAAACCTCCCGCTTTTATGGCAACGTCAAACATAACACCAAAACGACAACATCACATGACAGGACAACAATACAAATAAATGGGAGAACATATAGGACAAAGAAACACCCGAATAATAGCTAACAAAAGGTACTAGGCTTAAAATTCAATACGCCAGACGTGCGTCTCGTCCACACAAGACCAACCAGTGACGCTCAGATGAAAAAAGTTTGAAAGCCAAAACAAGTACAAAGCTGAAGAGCACCGAGGACCAAAACTTCCAAAAAGTTGCGCCTAACATGGCCAGGGTTTACTGTCTGGGACAAGAACATCCTTATTATTTAGAATAATTTATAATTTATTATAAATTGTTTTAACTTCATATAGTTTTCACACCTTTTTACGTTAATGGACGCATGCAATAATTAATTTTCATAGAAGGTCAGGTGTAACATAAAAATGCAAGCTACACATATTGTATCCAAGCAGATACTAAATTGCATAAACAATAGTAATCTGAGTAGAATATTCACAGTAGATTCAAAGTTAGACAGAAAATGAACAAATACATACTAAGTAATATGATACCATTTGATTAAAAAGTAAACTTCATCACTTTTATACTCAAAGCTGCAGAAACCTTCTTTCCATAAATATCAAAGATGCGGAGAAAATCTCGCCTTTATATTACCTGCATAAAATTTCTTTTGCTTTCTAAGCTATAGTTTGTAGTGCTCATTAACTGAAGTATATGCATTAATATGCATCACAAAAATAATTCAGAGTAAGGTGAAATGCTTTCAAGATTCTTGTGTTAGGTGCAAATGTAATTTTATTTTAACTAGTTATAAACACACAATTGAACATGATTTAACCAACTGAAGTCGTTCAATGACTTTATTAAGTGGCCGGAGACAGAGTGTGTTTGATGTTTGTCAACACATAAGGACAGTTTTGGTGTAATTAATGATACGGTCCAAAACAGTACCAGTTATATGACACAGGTTCATGAAAAGGTCAGTCTCCTTAATCCAGTCATGTTTTTGAATACCAATGCGTGCCATGATTTTTGCGCTTTGGTAATCATTCATAGTCTACATTTCCTGACACTAAGTCATTGTATAACATGTATAAGCAAAAAAAAAGAGCACTGTATTTTAATCGCAGACATTTGCCCTTTTTAATTATTACTACCAAA